CTACCACCACCACTACTACCACCACTACTACCACCACCACGACCACCACCACCACCACCACCACCACCACGACGACTACTACTACTACTACTACTACTACTGCTACTCGTACTACTACTACTGCCCGACGAGGGGCATTTGTGCTTCACAATGTGATCTGATCAAGGCGACGACACCTTCGGATTGCTGGTCTCGAGATTCTTTTATATCCCGATGTGCGTGCTCGCAGCGAAGGCACAGATTCCCGAAACCCCAAAATTTGTCGAGGCAATGCCAGGCATTCTTCTCATGTGAACCCGAATCCCTAAGCTGTTTTACTACCTGCCCTGGGATCTGGGAGTTCCTTTTTTCGCGGTCTCGCTGTCATGCGGCAGTATGTGCCCGACTATACTTCCACTCCTAAGTCCCAGAGCTCCCCAGACCTGGAATGTAGACCCCTGAACCCCATGTCGTCCAAGGTGGAGAATTCGAAAGCTCCTAAACCCTACACCTTGAACCCTCAACCCTAAAAATATGGAGCTTACGATGGAGACTAGACGTAAGCTTCTAAACCGTCAATACGCATAAACCCTGAATCCTGAACCCTAAACCGCTAAGTATAGACGCCGGGGAATTAGGAATAGTATCCCTGTATAGAACAAAGTACACCCAAAACCTGTTCCAACTGCTAAGGCCCTACAGTAAAACCTCACAGCCCAGCCTATAAATACCCTTGGAAAACCTATCCTAAGACCTAGAGAATCCTATAAGCACCGTTTAAAAGCATAAGTCCTCAAGCCCCGACCCTGAACCTAAATCCTAGAACATCGAACCCCATTCTGGCTCTTCAGGCCTTGTATCAAAGGTCTGCCATGCAATCTTAAATCTCGCCTGGATTGTCCGAGCTGTAAGCACCGAAACCTTCAACCCTGATCATTGGGGCCCCTCGATTCGCCCCACGCTCCAAACCCCAAGAAATGAACCCCAAACCCTAAACCATTGATAAAGGGATCCTGACCAACAAGGCTGAGGTCCATAACTAGGTATCTTGAAGATCGTTGGATGTCAGCAAGCAAGCTCGCTGGATTCCCCGTTTTCAGTAGGGTTGTACTATTGCTGAGAGTCTTGAGGACATGCCTGCAATATCTTGGGTTTCACGCAGAAGACCCCGAGCCACATGCCTCGCCTGGAGTGTCCGAGCGTGAGCGCCGAAACCCTAAGCCTTAATGGTTCGAACTCTAAAGTCATCCCTGCGGTGCGACTTGTCAGCTGGGCGGGTGGGAAAAAAATGATATAGAAGCCTACATAACTACCCATGTTATTCCTTAGGTTCCTCATTTTGCTTATACCATAAAGGAGCTCAAAATCCCATTCGACTTACTAAGGCCCCTAATTACATTATAGATTCAAACCCTAAACCCTAAACCCTTACAAGCCTTAATAGTCACAGTTCATGTGCCCTCCTTATAGTTCTAAAACAGACCTCGCCGTGAGCATAGTTTCTCAGCAAAGCGAGAGGCAAACAAGAATAAACCCGAATGGATTGAAGGATCCTAAACCCTAAACCCTATAAACCCTAAACCCTAAACCCCTTTCAAGGTCTGCCCACCGAACCTGGAGGCGACCTTGTTTGCGCATCTCGGGCGCTCACCGCTTTGGTCTTCCTTTGTCGCTTTGATTAGGGGTTAGGGCTTAGGGCTTTAGCTTTAGGGGTTTAGGGTTTAGGGCTTCTTTACGGGTTTCTCTAAAGGTTTTTTTTATCGTGTAGAGGCTTTCGGAATTGGAGGAGCCTTTTTTGTTAAGCAAGAGCTATTTTGGCTGTTGTGGGAATATTGAAGGACTTTAACATAGCGGCGTCATAGAATCCTATAGGTTCAGATTATGAGCAACCGGCGAACTGACAAGCTAAGGTCAAGCACCGCTAAATGTTCAGAAGGATAAGAGCAACGTAGCACTAGGATTACAACGACGGCAATGGTGGCTACAACAATTAGCATCATCTTCGTCACCATTATTTTCTCCTCCTCCTCATTTTGGTTTCCGTCGTTGCCGTTGCCGTTGCTGCTGTTGCCGTTGCCGTTGCTGTCGCTGTTGCTGTCGCTGCTTCTGTCGCCGCTGCTGCTGCTGCCGCCGCCACCACAGCTGCTGCTGCTGCCTTGTGGTTGTGTTGTTCACATCTGCTTGTCGAGCCCCATGCCTCAAAGGGCTAATGTCAGCTGAGGACTTTGCTGTCACTTTCTAACTTTGGCGGCGCTGTCAGTGGAGCCTTGGGCTTGACTTGAGTCTGAAAGCTGAGGAGGCTACAATTGACCATGCAAGGACTGTAAGCGAATCATCTTGATCCTTCAGCCTATTAGATCTCCCCTCCCTTGCGGGCTCAGGCGACGTCCCTGCCAAAGAGATCTTGTCTTCCATGGCTCAGGGACAAGCAAGACCTAGCAAGGTAAGTAAGATATGATGGCATTCCATGAGGCAGTGGTGCTCAGATGGTTGAGGATCTGAGCATGGTTCAAAGCACCCCTCCCCCCCTCTCGCCCCAACCAGACCCAAAGCTCAGATCTCTCAGCGGAAGAAGCGCTCAGGATTCCTGGGTGTGACGATGTGCGAGGTGTGGGGTCTCGTCGGAGCTCCTTGATTCAAATTGCCACGGCACTACAGTAGAGAACCTTAAACCCTGAGCACCGAGCAACAGCTTGGCAGTCTCGTACAGTCTTCAACCGTTTCGCCTTCATCATCCGCCACTTCTCAGCATGGCCGCTGGTTGCAGTAGTTGCGCTGCACTCGAATTATGGGTCGTTTTTTTTTGTGTTGGGTAGATGTGTCCTAAACCCTAAGTAAACGTGGCAGCAGAGATGAACACATTGTCCGCAGAGCTCAGGATAACTTCGACAATTTGCCGTACGCCAGCCTCACGAAAGCTTGCACGGCACTTCTTCCAATACCTTTGATCTTTGCCTTGGCGCCCACATTCACACCGAACGATCCAGTGCCCGAGGACCGAGGTGTGATGAAGTAGTAAAACTTAGAACAGTAATCGCCATAATACAATACAGTACTATTAAAAAAAAGGCAATAGCAACAATGATTTGCTGATGCTGAACACTGTTTAGCAGTAACAGTAATACTAAATCATGACCCCTAGACCACTCCTGCCTGAAATCCTTAAGCCCTCAACTGTATAGAGCCCCGAGGACGACGTCCAGGCCGAAACGGGCGAGGCCGCGTCCAGATCCTCCGAGGATGGTGCTGTGTCCGGGTGTCGGGTTCAGAGGTGTAATATAGAAGCCTAAACACTATAGAAGCCTAAATAATTGCCTATACTATTTAGGGGGCTCCTTATTAAAGTTATATATAATATCCCCCAAAACCCCGTTCTAATTATTAAGGTCCCTACATTAAGCGTTTAGCGGTGAGGATTTAGGGCTTGGGATTAGAGGTTGAGGGCTTAAGGCTTTACTGTTGCGCTCTGTTTGGCATCTGCAGATCTTGTGTCAACTCAGGAGGCCGAAAGCGGAGGTGCAGTGATTTTTTGAGTGTCATACTGGCTGTATGGTCCGGTCATCAATTGATTAGATCCCGAAGCAACTATAGCAACTATCTACTGCTACTATTATCCCTTTAAGGTGTACTTTGGGGGATACGCTGCTACTACTGCTACTCCTGCTCCTACTCCTACTCCTACTGCTACGACTTCTCTTGCTCCTGCTGCTGCTGCTGCTGGGACTGCTGATTGATTGCTACAGTCAGTGTTGCTGATACGTGTCTTGCTTTATTGTTGCCAGTTGCATCTTCATGAATACAGCAAGGCCCCAAAGAATTGCTTAGACTACATGTTCAGTAAGGGTCTGAGGGGATCCACTTTTCTCGGCTGCAAAGAGTTGTATGTGTTGGAAGCTCAAAAGCTCAATGTTCAGCTGCATACTTCGCTCGCATTCTGTAAACCCACACAAGGGGTTTAGGGTTTTGGTTTAGGTCGCTGTGTGCCGAGGGTTGGACAGCTACGGAAAGGCCTGAGAACGGTGGATTGAGGTTTTAGTGCCAGCCAGGATCCCACATCGCAGACAGCACAGGCATGAGCCAGATGCATGAGCGCTACCTTTCGGCTTCCTGCTGTTCAAACGTTGTGTCGGTTTTTCAGTCTAGAACCCTTTGCTTCAGCTGTTTGTTTGATTGGGAACCAGGTCTGGAAAACTGCGAGACCAGCAGTATGGTCGGGTAGTTTTGGTTTTGAAGGCCTTGGGTTTACGGTTCCGGGAATTGGCCAAGGCAACCACAAGCAAGCTGAGAACAGATCCATTCCGACCTGCATTCCTTACCTCGATCCGGGCAGAAGTCTGTCCGCTGGTCCAAGTTTTGTCCGCAGCGTTCTGCAAAGGGTGAAAAACAGGCCAGGGGGAAGCCTTCGTCGGTGTCAGTGTTCGGTTTCTAGAGCCACTGGCTAGAGATGCTCCCCCTGCGCATGCGGGTTTCTGACATCACCCGTTGTGCCGCACTCGCGCGACGGATGGTTTCGTGGGGAGCCAGAGGCTCTGTAGCTGCAAGCTACCTATAGCTTACATTGTAGTTCTTGTTTTTTTGGATTGAGCCTAATCTGTAGACAGTGAGGATCCTATAAAGTAACCCCCCGCAAGGAACTACAATGGAGCCTATAGGAGACTGGCGCATGAAAAATACCGTTGCGTGGTGCGGGTGCCTCCTTAACTTTCTGGAAGGACGGTTCAATACCAGAGCCAAAGATTCAGTAAGACACACGCAGCCGAGAGATATGGGCCAGTGTAAGATAAGAATGCATGGGCAATAAGGGGATTGTTTTGGGGGCTGTCATATCCAGGATCCTACGTCTTAGGATGTTTGTTCTAACTCGGGCCCCTTACTTGGTGAACTACCATGTCGTCCAGCTTCGCCTATCAGACCAGTGACCAGGCCTAATATTGAACCAAGCCAGGATGTAAAGTCCCGGACGCATTTGAAACACGTGTGATGCACTTGCTGATGCAAGCATCAGCCCGGGTCCTGTTCGACTGAAGCATCGGATCTTTCAGTTCTAGTTCTGACAGTCAGCAAGGTCTGATGGTGTGCCGTGCCAGATAGCCATCACAACTAGGCCAGTGGTTTGCGAGATAATTTCCTGCAGTCGAGTCCACCAGCCCTTAATCATAAGCATCATCAAGACTAACATGAGCAGCAAAGTCTTCGTGTTTTTTTGCAGCTGTCAGTCTCATCGAGATTAGAGTCCTAAGTGATACTGCTGCCACGACAATGTCTGCTTGTGTTGGTATGACTACGATAACCGCCATTAGAACTTGCAGTTCTCTTAGGCATGCCCTTCTTGTTTTGGTTGTTCTGATGATGAACTAAACCAGTTCTTGAATCCCGGTTATTGTAGTGCTGGACTCTTGCTGTTTGTACTGTGGCACCGCTGTCACCCCACTGTGGTGACGAGTAGTGTTATTGTGATACATAAAACACTCCTAGTAGAACCACTTTGCCGTTTTTGCGGGTTTAGAGTTATACCGCTATTGTATGTCATGCGCTGTTGCTTTCTTGTAATAAATACTACGATCATCCTTATCTTACAAGAATTCTACTTCTCGTGGTTGCGACAGACAAGCCTGAATAATTCCCAGCATTCTTCGTCAGGGTTCCTTATTGCCGATATACCGCAACATAACCCGAAAACCTGTCCATTTTTGATCCCCGATGTTAATGAATGAATGTAGTAGTGTCATACCAGCGCTACTGACTCGAATCGTGGCTCAGTTTCTGTCATGTTAACAGCTACTGCGAGGCAGCCGCCTGCTTATGTCAATGTTGATGGCTGCTGTATCCATGCTGCGGTCTTGCAGGCACCTGAATTTTTAGTTTGTCGTCATCGAGCTGCACATCAAAGCTGCCGCCGATGACTGGTGCATGGGGTTTTCAAAGGAAAGCCGCGGCCGCTGTATCTGAAAGTGGCACAGGAATTTGTGAACAGCCCCGTGGTCGCAGGAGCACATGCAACCGGTTTCATGTCCTGGTGCTCTTGCCTCCGCAGGCACACCGATGCAAATGATTTGGCGGCACATCAGCTGCGAGACGACAACACATAGGCAAACTGCGTCTGAATAAACCCAGAGGAAATACACCTTTGACATCGTTTGACCATTTGATTTTGTGGAACTCAGCCTGCATAGGTGTACATGGTGTCGGGCCACAGCACCATGCATCATGCATCATCATGCAAGCAGGACTTGACCCAAAGCAACATTTAAGCCTACTCGCTGGCCCCGAAATCTGCAACCACGAACCTCAACATCCTCAGATTCTTAGAGATTATCTGGGACCCTGAACAGATTGCTTTCAGGCCATATCATAATCATCCGGTTATGGCCTACAAACTATGTTGTGGGGATTGGAGGCTATAGGTCGAACCCGAAACCCAAAGTCCTACCAGCCATGACAAGAGGGAAAAACCAAGTAGGACTTCGCCCTGAACGTGTGTCTCTCATGTACCGCCAATGCTCCCAGAGAGCCCAATACCCGTTAAAGAAGGAATATGTTTTTCTTTTAGGGGCCTTTTTTTTTCCTTATAGGGGCCTTAATATTATGATTTAAGGTATATACCCTAAACCCCAAACTCTAAACCCGAGTCCTGAATTAAGGGGTATTGGGCTCTCTGGGCTTGAACCAACCAAGATGCTCACAAGCAGTCGAAATGTGCCCAGAGCTGCGGGTCGGGATCGGCCCTGGTTTTAGGGTTTCGGGTTCAGGGCTTACGGGGTTAAGGGGTCTAGGGTTTAGGGTTTAGGGTTCAGGGCTTAAGGGGTCTCGGGTTTAGCATTTCGGGTTTAGGGTTCAGGGCTCAAGGGGTTTAGGGTTTCGGGTTTAGGGCGGTTCCAGGCGACGGAAGCCTGCTGCAAAAGGGTTTTGGATTGAGGTTCAGGGTTTCCTTCCCCACTCATGTTTTTGAGATTACAGTTACAATGGTTTGTCCATCCCCGAGGGACACCAGGCAGCAGCGACGGCTCTGCCTTAGCTCGGAAATACGCACGTTTCCATGTTGTTCAGTTGCATGTACCGTTCATCTGTTTTTTTCGTTGTTGTTCTTGTACTTACCTACAGCTTCATGTGTTTGTGCATGTATTTATCTACTCAATCGTTTCTTCAGAGGAAAAGAGCAACACACCTCGAGCCGGTGGCCGAGGAATTCCCCACAGCCCAAACCAAAACGCCTGACAGCATGAAGTCTTGAATCGCATGTTAGGGTAGTTGTCTACATTAAGGTCAGGGTGCCGTGCCTGGATTTCTATTTGGGTGACCTAAAACAGGGACCCTAATTTAGAGAACCACCTCTTTAGGGTTTAGGGCGTAAGCCAGAACTCTAGGCTTCCTTGCCCTGCACATCGGTTTGGGGATTAGGGTTTTTAGGGTTTAGGGTTCAGGGTTTGGGGTTGAGGGTTTAGGGTTTACAAGCTCCAGATTGCCCAAGCCATGAAGCACTGAAGTCCCACCATTGTAGACTCTCTGGGATAGCCCGTTTTCATGTTAGGGTCCTGTGCTAAGGAAAAGCTACCATGAACCAAACCCTAACCCTAAGTCCTAAACAGGAGGCAAGAATTCAAATCCCAAGCCCTGACTCCCCGAAGCCCTAACCCCCCCAATTCCCCACGTGGGAGGTACGTTGTGTTGGTAAGGTCGCCTCAATATTGTCTGCAGACCTTGCCTGGCTAGGTCCGAGTGTGAGTGTCAAAATTTCCTGAACCCTAAAGCCGAGACCCAAAACCCTAAGCCTAAGCTAAACCCTAAAGGCCTTAAGCCCCAAAAGCCAGAAGTTGGAGGTCTCAAACCTCGGAGTTCGTGTAGAAACCCGCAACCTTTCGTAGGAACGCTTCCAGGAGCTTTCGCGAACCGATAGTATGGTTTTTAGGTTTTAGGGTTGATAAGGCTTTGGGTTTAGGTTTAGGTTGAGGTCTTGAAGAACTAGCATTGGTACTTCTTCATGGCTTCTATATTGAAATATTTGTCACGATACTCTAC